TAAAATGCACCAGTACCAAGGTTCGTTCTTCAATCCCTTTTTCTTCTCCTCCTTCTCCTTCTTCTGCAATCTCCCATTCTTGCTAATACCTTTTCTATTAAAGCAATGATGAGGCTTCCTTCGCACTTCAGATGTAATATCCCTGTCACTTTTCTCTTGAAGGGGAATAAGCTAGGCTGCTGGATGATATGTTTCATCATTATATTCATCCGAAAACAGTACCTGCCTCCTTGACATTTAAAAGCCTCCTGTTCAGAATGTGCAATAGATATATATATATATATTTCCAGGAGACCTTTATTAAACAACCCCAAGTCTAAGAGTTTAATTGTTACTGATAGCTAAGGGTATAATTACCTCGGTGAAATATCATGACTATATTAAGCAAATGGAAATTGGCTGCCGGAATTAGGCGAAGACAAAACCATTTTGATCGGGGATGTTTGGGGAGAGAGAGAGAGAGAAAGAGAGAGAGCTTGTAATATCATCATTTTTTTGCAGCATCTTTTTAAGGAAAATGAGCCCCGAGACACAAAATTGTTGCCTTCCAAGGGGAAGCTGTTTGTTCTTGGAATTTACTTGCAAAGTTTACAAAGCTAAACATAATGAGGGTCGTTTTCTTTGGCGAGGAAACAAGAGGGAAACCGACACCCGGAAAGTGGATCTAGAAACGCTTGTTTTCTCGGTTATTATTCAGGTGAAAAGCTGAGCTCAAGATTCATTTCATGAGTAATAGAGGCGAAGCCATCGTTTACTCAGTTTAGCCTCCATGACCTTTTCGGAGTTGTGCGCATGTAACACTCCAGCGAAGACAATAAATCCGTTTGCTCAGGTTCCTGGTGGTGGTCGAGGTTAAGAGGGGGTTGTGCTTATTAATGGCTGTGGTAGGTTGGAGCTTCAGAAGACTATTTGCTTTCCTGGGTGTCTTCCAGAAACGCCAACTTTTCTTCTAAAGCCTGTTTCTATTTTCTGAGCCGAGTGGACAAGAGGGGTAAAGAACCCATAAAAGTAGGAAATGATGGGGATTGAGTCTTCTCCGTTTTTTCCAGCCGTGCTTGGTAGGGCTCCAATTCTTGGGAAATTGGCCACGGCCAACGTTGGAGGCATCGTGTCAAGTGTGAAGAATCAGGACCATGCATTAAGCTGCAGTTAAGATGTATTGCTCAAGGCTGTACACAAGAATCTAGTCAATTTACTGTTCACTGAATTGGTGCTAGATAAGAGTCAACGGAATTCTGAAGGGGCTGGACTTGGAGCATTTGTGGCAACGTAAGGACTCTAAGCTTATGGCAAGTTTAACACCACCCCCAGCTCTGCCTGCTCTCCTCTACCTACCTGGGAAGAGCATCTGGTTTCAGATGTGTTTGGAAGCAGAGAATCCACGCAAGGGGTGCTTTTTGGCTTTTGGGAATCTGACCTTGGGGCCTCCTGGAGAATCAGCACCAGAGTCTTGAAGGCAAATGGTGGTATGAAAGATCCCAGTGGGACCATAAATGATCTTTTCATTTCTTTCCTTCTTTTAAAAAAACAAAACAAAAACACAACGACTTCTTTTCCCTTCGTCTGGCCCCTAATTATCTGTTAACTTTCATTTCTGAGAAAATACGTTTCTGTGTGTGATGGGAGTTTTTTACGAAGTTATTTAAATCGGAATAAATACTGATAAAATAAATAAATAACCAGTCCACCTCGCAGGGATTTTTTTGGTCCAAGGTCCGCATAAAGTTTTGCCTCTCAGATCGATTCTGTTTCTCTCGAGCCAAAGAAGATTAATATTTGGGTGCCCGAAAATTAGAAACACGCAAACGAGAGAGAGAGGGAGATTTATTTTGACTCCCCTTATGTACACCTGTCCTGGGAGACCTCATCTTCTAAGGCTCCCAAAGGGAAAATGTTCTGCATTCAGTGAAAAGAAGAAGATTAATCCAGGGTTACGGCTGACAATTGCCACGCTCCCAGATTACCTGAATTGGGAGCCCGCGCTTTCTCCGAGACTAGTAAGTCGCTTGATGGATCTGTTCCGCTTGGTGGCGAGTCACAGCGGAACGGTCACACTTTAAGCTTCCCGACCTTGAACTCCGCTGGCTGCAGGTGGGGATAAGGCTGGGATTTCAGCGGTGAA